GCTTAAGGCGAGAATTAAATACGATTATCTCCACAGAAAGAACTAAATGCTTAACTTTCTCTAAAGAGCCGGTAAGATGTAAACTTGTAGTAGAAAACAAAATTATTGAGCAAGTATCACAGTTCAGATACCTACGAATAGATATGTCGCACTACCATGATTCAGAGAAAGATCTGAGAACAGATAAACAGAGCAACGGCCATGTCAGGATGTCAGGATACCTAATTTTTATTAATTAAATAAATGTTAATTCAACCTAAATATTGGACACAAGTCGTATTTATATAAAGAACAACAAACTGATTTATTACTGCCAATATCGTAAACAATAATAAATTATATTAATCTGAACCAAAACATTGTGTATTAAATATTACGCCATAATTATCATTAAGTTAATAAGATACTTATTTATAACGTTCAATATATTTAATAAAATTCGTTACACATGTGTAAATATTATTGCTCAACAGTTTTTTAACCACTGCTTCTATATTTATTAAAATAATATTTTGTAATACATTATAAATTCAAACTAAAACGGAAAAAAAGGTTACATTATAAAAATAGATTTTCCAATAAAATTATTAAAAACTATTTTGATTATTTTTAGCCGACCATACCGACAGGTAGATATGATAGTACAGTCTGTCCGTCTGTCCGTCTATCCGTCTGTCCGTCTGTCTGTCCGTCTGTCTGTCTGTCCGTCCGTCTCTCTGTCCGTCTGTCTGTCCGTCTTTCTCTCCGTCTGTCTGTCCGTCTGTAACACGATAAATCGCTAAACCGATTTTAACCAAATTTGGCACAAAAATATTGTGGCACCCGAGAATCTGGCCATTAGTTTTTGGGGTGGGGGGTTGGTAAGGGGGTATGGGAGGGGGTTACAAATTTAAAAAAATCGTAACTCCAAAATTACAGTAGCTAGCGAAACGCGATTTTCAATTTAAGATTAGGAATAATATTTGCAACAAAATTTCGTAGGCGTACAGCGAAAATCATTTTCGCTGTACGCCACTAAGTCACGTTTTTGGTTGAATTGGATTAAACACACTACTATGTCCAGTTTCTCACGGTGTAACGTTTTTAGTTCGTTACATGTGTTTTTTATATATGATTTATATGATGTCTGGCGTATCGTCATCGGATTCCGTATCGTTCAGGCCTGATAATTTATTTGGCACGCTTGGCGTAATTTTTACGTTCCCTAGTCGCCAACCCTGCTATCGTTTCACTGTTCTGTGGAGGCGCGCTGTCAACATCGCTTCTGTCAACTCTCCGCGCTTAACCTCACTTTTGCAAATCCCGGCTTTTAGAAATGGTGATTATTTAAATCTTGCTGTATAATCTGAATCAGCTGCCATTTCGAAGCAACAGGTAAAGATGAGATATTATCTTTATTAGATTCGTTATTATTATTGAATATTTTTAGGGTAGAGTTTTGGATGTCCCAGCCTAACTTGTATTTGTATTTTGCTGGCACGTTGGCGTCCCTTTTCTTTTGTCCTCCAGAATGTCACATGGAAGAAAGGACAGGTTCTTCATTATTTAGTGAGCCCTCGGAAGTAATTCGAGGTAGGTTCATTTTGTTTATTAGACCTTGTTTGATTTTAAACAAGAGTTTCGTATTTTTAGGGTCTTATGGACGGACTGTGTCCAAGGTATGGACTATTTACAAGGTACGGGCATTATCCAAGGTCCTAGTAGTATCCAAGGTACGAGTAGTGTTCCCCTGTACCGTTGTCTTATGGACGGACTGTGTCCAAGGTACGGGTAGTGTCCCATATCTATGTATTGATTCCAAGATTCGGGCATTATCCAAGGTCCTAGTAATGTTCCAAGGTACGGGTAGTGTCCCCATATTGCCACAGTATGGATGTAGCGTAAGCCCCATGCTGCTTCGTTCCCATTTCTCAGTCTAGTCAGTAGTTACGGCTGTATCAATTCATGGTGTCCTCATTCTGGCCCCCTTTTGTTGCATTGGATGGCCGAGTACAGAGATGCGAGACCACCTCACGCTGCTACTGTTTGAAGCAAGATTACATGAAGAACAGCTAAGTGTAGATTTAAGTTCTAGTTTTACATTTAACATCTAAAACATTTTCAGTCTTAAACAATAATGTACATCTTAAGTAATATCGTACAGACTATGTTTAGTGGTTAGATTGTTAAGAACATTCATGTCGATTTAATATTTAAAATATGATTTAGATCTTAGGTTTCATTACATTACGTCTTGTAATGGTATTACTTTCATAGATATTTAGTACAATTCTTAACACCACTTTCGTTGACATATAACCACTATAATAATTATTAAAATTGTACAATGCTATTTACCATCACAGTCCATCTTGAATAAATATAGTCATTACTTTAATATGTCTATAGTCATTAGTTTAATTAATTTAAAAAACATTTTAAGTAATATACAACTGTGTTTTCTTTCTCTGTACATGCCTGGCTCCCAATATCTGTATTTTTTTGTTTATTGTTATTGATTGGTTTTCTCTCTAGTGAAATACCTTATCCACGACTGCTCTCCGATGAAAAGCTGCCGTTCGCAGTGGTAATGTTTAAAAAAAAACGCTACAACGGTCTTAAACATGAAAACCCATTAAGTCCAATTTCGGCATCCTTATAATATAAGGATGCCGATAAGGGTTTTTCATGTTAAAGACCGTGAAAAACTGGACATAGTAGTGTGTTTAATCCAATTCAACCAAAAATGTGACTTGTGGATTTTCGCTGTACGCCCACGATTTGTAATAACATCAAAATCAGTCAAAGTCGCAGTTTTTGAGATAAAGAAAAATATCAAGTATGGGCGACTATACGTGCCTCCCGGCGCCAATTTTCTCCACCTTCTATAAGGTAGTAGTGGTAGCAGGCATTAATTTTATTATCGCAAAATAATATTAAGTAAATAAAAAAATTGGTGGCATTATTTGGTTTTAAAAAATTAAACATGCCTCGAGAATTAAAGCATTAGAATTGTTACTGCATTTTCAGACAATCGTAATTGTTTCATTTAAAACGATAAGATATAAGTGAGTTAAACCGTTATCAAATTTACTTATATTTCAATCGTATAAACTTAGAATGTATACAACGTATACGAATAATACAACGTATCTGCTAAAAAACTAAAGCGTACTTGGATAGTTGTATTTGGATCTTTTTAATATTTTTTTCTTTGTTCTTTGTGTCTTTTTTTTTGCTTCCGATAACGGAATGAGAGGTTGAAACTTTTAAAGCTTTTTTTTTTTAAACTTTTTTTGTCCGTTAGGTAAATCTGTTTAATTAATGAAATACCGCTGACAATTAGTCTCCGTTTGGTCAATGCAGCGGTATTTAAAAAATAACTATTTCGTTTTGTAGATTTTCTTCTAGAGGTTCATTTTTGTAGAACAATTAATTAAACTTAAGTACTTAAACTACATTATGAACAAGAAGTGTCATAATCAAACGAGCTTTGTACGATAACCAAAAAATATTAATAATAAAAATGACATCAGAATATTTTTACTCTCAAATTCGTTCAAGTTGTGACCGTAAAACTTTTTGATCGCACGGTACATTAAGACATTCCTCGCTGAAAAGTAGCATCCTGTATGACCGATTAGCACCGCATCCATTAATAAACCGCCGGCGATAAATTAGAACACGTATTATTTGTTTAAACTTTCGTTGGCAAAATATTATTCGGTTATTTTTGTTTAGTTGTACAGAAGCCAACTTTTATTTTAAAATAGATTGTTATGATCTCTCGCGCGATAGCCGGCAATATTTACGTCGTTGTTACATGCAAATATCCCAATTCGCCGCAGTTTCAGTTTATAGTGCGCTAGATAAATGTTCTCGCTCCTTACTGAACCGTTCCCTAGATAACTAAGTCATGGCGTTTATGATCCCGCTAGTGAAAAATGACATGGACATCTACAAGTCTAACAAGTCAAGAAAAATCTCGGAGTCTAGTTCGGTAGCTTCCACAGCGTCAGCACGGTCAAGGAAAATATCGGAATGCAGGTCGGATTGTTCAGGGCCCTCGAATGGACAACGGGCGTTCCCTAAATACCACTCTGTGCCGGATAGGATGTCATCAGCAGCGAACTTCAGGGTTAGAACTAGCTCGTACAGCACTAATAATAGAACCAAGGCTGCTCCAGTGGATAAGACTGATATGAAGACTGATTTGAAGAGGTCGCAAAGTTGGCTGAATAAGTTGAAAAGGTTTATGAAATCGAAAAGTGACGACGAAAGAACTAAATCTTAATAATCATTTCTTTTTCCAAGTGTGGAGGACTGTTATGTGTAACTTAAAAATGTTTGTTGGGAGGTCAAGTGAGTGAAGTGAGTTTTTCTTGTTATGAGATAAACTGGTGAATGAAAAAAAAACAAAATTATTGTAAATTTAGAATAGTATTTAATTTATTATATGTACAAAATATTCGGAAGAATGATATCCTCAACCTATTATTTGGTGCCATGAAATTATCAATAAAGATAAACACAGAATTGTAGAAGAGGGAAAATGTTATCAATAAACATATTTTGTATAGAATAGTAGTCTTTCTTTTAATTATAAATGTTGGCATTATACTTTCGTCACTTTTTGATAAATATATACACATATATAAAACTTCCTATTTAAGAGACATATAATTTAACCCTTAAGTGCCAGATTTTTAAAGAGAATACCAACATCTTAAGTAAAATTAAATATTTTCAAACAAAATAATTTCAAATGTATACTTTTTATATGTATAATGATTAAAAGAAAACCTTTAAAGGAAGTGTTATATTAAGTAAAGAAGCTACTAAACTATTAGAGAAACCTAGTAAGATTTTTTTAAATGATTTTATTCTAACATTTAAATATGTTTCAACTTCTTACACATCTTTCTTGTTACATCTGTCACATTTGTTATCCTTTTAAAAACATATAAGGTTTGGAAAAACTGAAAAAAAAATTACTGAAAATAAGTAATAATTACTAAGTCATGGCGTTTGTGATCCCGCTAGTGAAAAATGACATGGACATCTACAAGTCTAACAAGTCAAGAAAAATCTCGGAGTCTAGTTCGGTAGCTTCCACAGCGTCAGCACGGTCAAGGAAAATATCGGAATGCAGGTCGGATTGTTCAGGGCCCTCGAATGGACAACGGGCGTTCCCTAAATATCACTCTGTGCCGGATAGGATGTCATCAGCAGCGAACTTCAGGGTTAGAACTAGCTCGTACAGCACTAATAATAGAACCAAGGCTGCTCCAGTGGATAAGACTGATATGAAGACTGATTTGAAGAGGTCGCAAAGTTGGCTGAATAAGTTGAAAAGGTTTATGAAATCGAAAAGTGACGACGAAAGAACTAAATCTTAATAATCATTTCTTTTTTCCAAGTGTGGAGGACTGTTATGTGTAACTTAAAAATGTTTGTTGGGAGGTCAAGTGAGTGAAGTGAGTTTTTTCTTGTTATGAGATAAACTGGTGAATGAAAACAAAATTATTGTAAATTTAGAATAGTATTTAATTTATTATATGTACAAAATATTCGGAAGAATGATATCCTCAACCTATTATTTGGTGCCATGAAATTATCAATAAAGATATAAACACAGAATTGTAGAAGAGGGAAAATGTTATCAATAAACATATTTTGTATAGAATAGTCTTTCTTTTAATTATAAATTATTTGGCATTATACTTTCGTCCACTTTTTTGATAAATATATACACATATATAAAACAACTTCCTATTTTAAGAGACATATAATTTAACCCTTAAGTGCCAGATTTTTAAAGAGAATACCAACATCTTAAGTAAAATTAAATATTTTCAAACAAAATAATTTCAAATGTATACTTTTTATATGTATAATGATTAAAAGAAAACCTTTAAAGGAAGTGTTATATTAAGTAAAGAAGCTACTAAACTATTAGAGAAACCTAGTAAGATTTTTTTAAATGATTTTATTCTAACATTTAAATATGTTTCAACTTCTTACACATTTTTCTTGTTACATCTGTCACATTTGTTATCCTTTTAAAAACATATAAGGTTAAATTACTGAAAAGCAATGTCAAATTTCTTACGACATAATAATGTTTTATCCAATAATATATTAATAATTTCTTAAATAAATATCAACAAATGACACTATTAACAAAGATTTTTCAACAAACAAAATTTATGCCAATTCTGGTTTTACAAAAATATAATATAGATAATTTTATTTAATTTAGGTTGCAAATATTTATAATTCATATAATTTTAATAAATGAAATGTTTATTAAAGCTAGTGTGAATTTGAATTACATCTGAATAAGAAATAATTCTATACTAATTATACCTTTATCAGTTTTGTATACTAAACAAATTTAAACTAGTCTATTCATTAACAAGATTTTTTTCCACTTTGCCTCAGTTTCAGTTTATAGTGCGCTAGATAAATGTTCTCGCTCCTTACTGAACCGTTCCCTAGATAACTAAGTCATGGCGTTTGTGATCCCGCTAGTGAAAAACGACATGGACATCTACAAGTCTAACAAGTCGAGGAAAATCTCGGAGTCTAGTTCGGTAGCTTCCACAGCGTCAGCTCGGTGAAGAAACATATCGGAATGCAGGTCGGATTGTTCAGGGCCTTCGAATGGACAACGGGCGTTCCCTAAATACCACTCTGTGCCGGATAGGATGTCATCAGCAGCCAACTTCAGGGTTAGAACTAGCTCGTACAGCACTACTAATAGACCCAAGGCTGCCCCAGCGGATAAGGCTGATATGAAGACTGATTTGAAGAGGTCGCAAAGTTGGCTGAATAAGTTGAAAAGGTTTATAAAATCGAAAAGTGACGACGAAAGAAGTAAATCTTAATAATTATTTTTTTCCAAATCGCTCCTCACTGAAGTCATGGCTCCTTACTGAAGTCATGGCGTTTATGATCCCAGTAGTGAAAAATGACATGGGTATCTACAAGTCTAACAAGTCGAGGAAAATCTCGGAGTCTAGTTCGGTAGCTTCCACAGCATCAGCTCGGTCAAAGAAAATATCGGAATGCAGGTCGGATTGTTCAGGACCTTCGAATGGACAACGGGCGTTCCCTAAATACCACTCTGTGCCGGATAGGATGTCATCAGCAGCCAGCAGCGAATTTGACGGTTAGAACTAGCTCGTACAGCACTACTAATAGAACCAAGGCTGCTCCAGTGGATAAGACTGATATGAAGACTGATTTGAAGAGGTCGCAAAGTTGGTTGAATAAGTTGAAAAGGTTTATGAAATCGAAAAGTGAAACGAAAGAACTAAATCGTAATAATTATTTCTTTTTCAAGTGAGGACTCTTGTACGACTTAAAAAAAAATAAAAAAATTTTTGTTGAGAGGGCAAGTGAGTCAAAGGAGTTTTATCTTGTTCTGAGGTAAATTGATGAATGAAAACAAAATTATTGTAAATTGAGAATAGTATTTAATTCATTATATGTACAAAATATTCGGAAGAATGATATCCTCAACATATTATTTGATGCCATGAAATTATCAATAAAAATATAAACACAGAATTGTAGAAGATGGAAAATGTTATTAATAAACATATTTTGTATAGAATAGTCTTTCTTTTAATTTTAAATTATTTGGCATTATACTTTCGTCCACTTTTTTGATAAATATATACACATATATAAAACAACTTCCTATTTTAAGAGACATATAATTTAACCCTTAAGTGCCAGATTTTTAAAGAGAATACCAACATCTTAAGTAAAATTAAATATTTTCGAACAAAATAATTTCAAATGTATACTTTTTATATGTATAATGATTAAAAGAAAACCTTTAAAGGAGGTGTTATATTAAGTAAAGAAGCTACTAAACTATTAGAGAAACCTAGTAAGATTTTTTTAAATGATTTTATTCTAACATTTAAATATGTTTCAACTTCTTACACATTTTTCTTGTTACATCTGTCACATTTGTTATTCTTTTAAAAACATATAAGGTTAAATTATTGAAAAGCAATGTCAAATTTCTTACGACATAATAATGTTTTATCCAATAATATATCAATGATTTCTTAAATAAATATCAACAAATGACACTATTAACAAAGATTTTTCAACAAACAAAATTTATGCCAATACTGGTTTTACAAAAATATAATATAGATAATTTTATTTAATTTAGGTTGCAAATATTTATAATTCAGATAATTTTAATAAATGAAATGTTTATTAAAGCTGGTGTGAATTTGAATTACATCTGAATAAGAAATAATTCTATACTAATTATACCTTTATCAGTTTTGTATACTAAACAAATTTAAACTAGTCTATTCATTAACAAGATTTTTTTCCACTTTGCCTCAGTTTCAGTTTATAGTGCGCTAGATAAATGTTCTCGCTCCTTACTGAACCGTTCCCTAGATAACTATGTCATGGCGTTTATGATCCCGCTAGTGAAAAACGACATGAACATCTACAAGTCTAACAAGTCGAGGAAAATCTCGGAGTCTAGTTCGGTAGCTTCCACAGCGTCAGCTCGGTCAAGAAACATATCGGAATGCAGGTCGGATTGTTCAGGGCCTTCGAATGGACAACGGGCGTTCCCTAAATACCACTCTGTACCGGATAGGATGTCATCAGCAGCCAGCAGCGAATTTGACGGTTAGAACTAGCTCGTACAGCACTACTAATAGAACCAAGGCTGCTCCAGTGGATAAGACTGATATGAAGACTGATTTGAAGAGGTCGCAAAGTTGGTTGAATAAGTTGAAAAGGTTTATGAAATCGAAAAGTGAAACGAAAGAACTAAATCGTAATAATTATTTCTTTTTCAAGTGAGGACTCTTGTATGACTTAAAAAAAAATAAAAAAATGTTTGTTGGGAGGGCAAGTGAGTGAAAGGAGTTTTTTCTTGTTCTGAGGTAAATTGATGAATGAAAACAAAATTATTGTAAATTGAGAATAGTATTTAATTCATTATATGTACAAAATATTCGGAAGAATGATATCCTCAACATATTATTTGATGCCATGAAATTATCAATAAAAATATAAACACAGAATTGTAGAAGATGGAAAATGTTATTAATAAACATATTTTGTATAATATAGTCTTTCTTTTAATTATAAATTGTTTGTCACTATATTTTCATCCACTTTATTAATAAATATGAGTATATAAAACACTTCTTATTGTTAAGAGACATATAACTTAACCCTTAAGTGGGAGATTTTTAGAGAGAAATACCAACATCTAAGTAAAATTAAATATTTTCGAAGAAAATAACTTCATATGTATACTTTTTATATAATGAGGAAAGAAAACTTTTAAAGGAAGTCTTATATTAAGTAAAAAAAGTTACTAAACTACTAGAGAAACCTGGTAAGATTTTTTTAAGATGATTTGATTCTAACATTTAAATATGTTTCAACTACTTACACATTTTTCTTGATATATATATCACATTTTTTTATATTTTTAAAAACTTATAAAACTTATAAGATTTTTTAACGAACAACATTTTTCCAAAGCTGGTTTTATACAATATGATAATTAAATATATTTACCAGTGGCAGTTTTGTCTACTAAACAAATTTTAACCAGTTCTAATCATTAAGAACATTTGTTTACCAATTCTCCTCAGTTTCAATCATAGAGTTCAAAAATAACAGATTTACTGTAGAATTACTATCGAATATATACTCTGTCCAATGGGTCAGGGAAGATTTCGGCAACGGTATCCAAAAAATGACAGAAAATACAATGTATATGTAAATTAAAATCAGAGACAGAACCGTCACTCTGATGTATCCTCTGGCTAAATAGAAAATAGAACTATATAAATAATAAATAAATAAATAATAAAATAATAGAATATAAAACATTACTAAATACAAATAAAACAGTACATTAAACTATTTGGAAGTTTTATTTTTCAGTACATAATGTTTTATAATAGCTCTATATTTTTACCAAGAATGGCACCTTCAAAAATTTATCACAACTGGGCAAGTTTATACATAAAAAAATGTTCGAAATATATGCAAGAAGGAGATGATAAGAACACATTGATAATTAATACGTTATACGAGCCCTAACAACTATATCTTGGAACAAGGTCATATTTTGGAATTATTGCCCTGGTTTTTCAAAATGACTGAAAAATATATGTTTAATTTTTTAAATATAGACATAGCCATATATCCTAAACAACTTGACAATATTTTTATGAATTTGTAAATCAATCCATATTTACAGTAGCAGATTTTGTTCATAAAAGGACAAATTTGCTGACAACTAAATGTTGGGACAAGTATTTTTAAATAATTAATATCATCATAGGCGGCTTTGCTATAAACGTCACAAATGTCGCAAACTGTTTAC